TTTCCCTGTCTCCTGCCCTTGCTTCTCCCTTTGAATCCACTGCTGACCAGCATCCCATCCCCTCCAGCATGTCAGCCCAGTGCTTACCAAGGCCCTTTATGATCAGATTTAACCTATTAGTCCAGCAGAAGACCACACAGATTTTTCTGCTGGGTCAGTTTCCTGCTACATGAGGTAGCTAAATTGGCTCACAGGGGGGTGTGATGAACATCAGAGGTGGTCCAAAGAGCACAACCTCCACTTTTGGTGATAGTAAGTGGCCAGATTGGCTCAAGCCATCCTACAAATTATAGTCTACGTGAAACAATTTTCACCCATCCACAGGGAAAACAGAGCTCCCTAGAGTCGGACTACAGCATGCTTGAACTATGGTAAGTTACAGCAAGTCTCTCAAACCCAGAGAAGTTGATTGCCCTCATTAGATGGATTCAAAGTTCAGCAATGGTCCTCAGTATCATCTTAATCTGTGCAAGCTTTGCAGACACACCAGCAATGAGAAAGTTTTATTACATATTTACCTACAGTTTTACTTCTGAAAATCTTACACAACTCCAGTGAAATTCTTTCTGAGCAGGTCATGCACTTCAACTATATCCCTTGGATACTGAGAAATTCATGATTACTGATGGCAGCTGATTTCACTTCTCCATGCTGCCATTGAATCTGCTAGGTTAGGGAAATTACTTCTACCTCCACCACCTGGCTGTCACAGAGACCAAAGACTTTGAGATATAGTACTATGCTATGGCTTCAACTATTCTGCCTGGAACCTTCCTTCTGCACAGATAGGAACTTGACCTTTTTGTGTTCTTTGCCAGATTTAGGTGTCTCAGTAAGACTTTTCACTATAAACTAAAGGTCAATGATCTCAGCTCCAAACTTATGATCTTTAATACTTATTGGAAATCACAGTATGAAACTAATTAGTAACAAGAGTGAAAACAGTTAGCATTCCACAGGCTTTCTCTACGCTAGAAAAATTCTACAGAAACAGTATTCTAGTCTGGATGGATGATAGAGCAATGTAAGCCCTTGCCTGTGAACTTTATTAGAGGATAGCCCTTATATCCTTCTGTTATCAGAGTTGGGACAGGACTAATCTGAGTTTTGATATTCTCCTAGTTGATGTACTCCACAAAGCATCCGCGTGACCTCACAGATACTCTAGTCTGCACACATACCATAGAAAACAGGTTGAGAGGGCAAAACACCTCTGGAGATATGTAAATGGAGGCCTGTTATGCCCCCATAGTAAATGCAGCATACAGAACTGATGACTGCGTAAAGGTTCTAACTAATTCATGGAATATGAAATAATTGTTGAGAAACATTGCGTCTTTGCAGCCTGAATTTCACTAATATCCATAAGATGTAGTGTTGATCAACTATTCTCCTATACAGAGTAATAATCAGTTTTCTCATTCCATGTGTCAGTCCGCAGGCCCACTGGTCTGTTTATTTAGAACTTTCCCACTACGTCCATGTAGGTTTAAAAAACAACAACAAACCACAAGAAAACCACAAATTAAGTAAACTCTGCATTCTTTGTGACCAAAGAAAACACAGCTGCACACCTAAGCAATAAAAAACCCCCTTCAGTGTTCCACAATATCTCTCTGCTTTGATATGATGTTCAACAGCATTCATAATCAACAAGGTAGAGTTGCAGTTCAGAAACCTACTGACACAAAAACATACTGCCTTACTGACACCTCAGCCACTATAAGCCTTTATCACTTGTTAAGGCATGGAATAAAGTAAAAGTGCAAGCATGAGCAAGAGGTGTGTTATTAATGAACGTTAGTAACATTTAATCCTACAGTTTTAAACTGGCTAAATTGGCCAGTCTTCTAAATACTTCCATCACAAACACATGATTCCCTAGCACCCCTCACACACTTACGTGCCCACCACACATGCACCCCTTCCCTCCTAATAATTTTCACTCTGTTTTCTACTGGAGCAAAAAGGAGTCAGGGTCATACACAGCCTGGCCCAGCACTGCCACTCCCAGCCTCTGTGACAGTCTGTACAATCTCCCAAGACACAGGGAGCTTCACCTTCACATACCTTATTTACTGCAGCTGTGAGAGTTGCTCAGGTGCTCCTTGTTTCCACCTTCTGCATCCTGGGTCACTTCTGCAAGGACAACAGGCAATACTCAGACAATCCTGGAGCTCACAATGCTCCCCTTCCCCAGCCCAGATGGGTCAAGAGTAATCTGACTGGGAGCTGGGCCATTTGTTTGGCATCAATAACAGCCCTGACCAACATCCCCCACCCGCACAGGGCCACCATACAACACCTCCCCTCTCTCCTCCATACCCAGCTCCACACTGTCCTCATGGTCGCTTCCAGATCCTGCAAAGGCCAAGCACAGAAGGCACTCAGCACCCATGGTGCCACCCATAACTTCACATCAAGAAGCGTTAGGCAAAAGTCACAATGAACAAAAACCACTCCATAGCACAGGCACTTAACTCCCTCATTTACACCATGGTCATCTGCATGCTTGGCCATCAAGCTGCTGTTCTCTTTCTTAAAGATGTCTGAAGAGAGGTCAGAAGACAACTACAGTCCCCTGCCTTGCTCAGCTTCAAGGTACTGGCCATTGCATAAGAGTGAGTTACTAGCTACAACTCAACATGTTGCCATCAGCTAACACCAGAAAGCTAACACCTTCCTCCCAAGACAACTCCCCACCACAATTGGGTTCATGAAGGGCAGGTCCTGCTTGACCAACCTGATCTCCTATGACCAGGTGACCTGCCTAGTGGATGAGGAAAAGGGTGTGCATGTGGTCTACCTGGACTTCAGTAAAGCCTTTGACACTGTCTCCCACAGCATTCTCCTAGAGAAGCTGGCGGCTCAAGGCTTAGACAGGTGTACTCTGCGCTGGGCAAAAAACTGGCTGGACGGCCGGGCCCAGAGAGTTGTGGTGAATGGAATTCAATCCAGTTGGCGGCCGGTCACGAGTGGTGTTCCCCAGGGCTCAGTTTTGGGGCCGGTCTTGTTCAATATCTTTATCAATGATCTGGATGAGGGGATCGAGTGCACCCTCAGTAAGTTTGCAGACGACACCAAGTTGGGCGGCAGTGTTGATCTGCTCGAGGGTAGGAAGGCTCTGCAGAGGGACCTGGACAGGCTGGATCGATGGGCCGAGGCCAACTG